TAAGAATGATCAAGGTTAGGAACAGTCAATGAACATGGCAAGAATAGAACAGCAAGCTTTAATTGAGCATTTGTGGTGGGTAGCAAACTTCCATCTCCTCTTTTTAAGTGTTATGTTTTGTTCTAATGGAATTAGGCGGACAGAAAACAGCTTTTGGATGACATCGGAAATTCTTGTTATCATTTCATGTCTATTATTTGATGTAATTAATAGTAATGCCCAGTAATTGTCCACATTGTGGTACCTGTCTGCTTTCTTCTTGTGTGAGGGAGCTAGGTAATTATGGTTGTAAATTCGACCCCGGGGGGATGGCAAAAGGTTAAAATATTTAAATCTGAATGGCAGTGCAGGCTACGGTTACTGTAGTGGTACCTGCAGGCCTCACCTAATTTTATCAACCTGCTCTCATCCACTAAAATCATAATTGGTTTGCCATCTACCGTCTGCCTGATTCCATGTGAACACAACATTACTTGCTACCTACACCACTCGACCTGTGTACTATACTTTGCATTGGTCATAAATCCTAAGATTCAGAATGATCAAATATGGTTTGAAGGCACAATCTGCAGACTCATGGTCAGTTAGCTAGCAGTTGGAGCTAACCTCGGTAGTCCGCACTCATGCTACGAGGGCTGCAAAAAAAAAAAAAAAAAAAACCCTCTGCAGCCATCAAATTTGCATGAATACAGCAAGATGAAAATTAACTTTGTGTTAAATTTTAACACACCTTACTGGCAGAAACAGGGCGACATGAGAATCCCATTTGAGTCCACTTTGTCACCACTAGTAGAGTTTAAGTCCAGTATTCACTCGCCTTTTATCTCTCAGTGCGGAAAAAGTCTCTTTGGCATGCTGAATGTTTGAATGTCCTCACCAGCCACTCTATGCCATTTTTTTGCTATGCAGATAGCGCTCCTGTATGAACTCCAGTGCTGGGAGCTGCTGTCTATGGTTTTAGGAGGGGTTGGTAAGAGCTGAATTCACGTTTAATGGCCCTCAGCTTTGGGATGTTTGTGCACTGGTGTGGATGGCAGCCCCCCCATAAATATCAGCATTGTGAAGCTAACGTGATTTGAGGCTTTATTGTCTTTGCCAGATTAAATAACTTTGTTTTTCAGGCCCGGTGCAGCTGCAGTTCAGACTCTTCACTATTGAGCCTCTTTGGAAGCCTTTAGTTGTCTCGTTTTGCTTTGAGCACACAGACATGGACGTGGTGATTATCAGAGCCCTTTTAAAGCTGATACTGGCTGCTAATTAGCATTCAAGTTAATATAATACACCTGCATAGCAGCCTTTGTTAATGTGATTTAGTTACTTCAAAGTACTTTCATGTGGTGTTTCCATTTATTTCCGCTCCCGCTGTACCCATTAAATCCTGGATGAAGTGGAGAGTTCAGTCAAACACCAACCAATTGTCAAACAAGCAAATCATTGCTTAATTACTATAAATCTCTCAAGATTTTTTAACATTTTAGACAAGGAAATGACTCCTGGCAGATCTGTTCACCTCCAACAAAGAGGAATTGTCGTCCTGTAAAGTATGGAGCCATTATGCATATTTTCTTTGCACAGTGCTTCCTGGCTAATTGCATTGGACATCTGCTTTTATTACAAAGACAATGTAAATTGAGAAGCATGTTGAAAAGCCTTCAGCGAAGCCATTCAGAGCTTCCAGCATGTAGAGTGATTTGCAGTGTTTCTAAAATCAAAGCGAGTAAGTTCCCCTCAGTGCGTCTCAATTGAAAACATGGTTGACAACAACAGAGTTGATTATGCAGGCTGAGAAGGCGATGAGATGGAGGTGCTCCCATCAGCACTCCTGACACTATGTAGGGAGTTACACCCCCTCTCCCTCTCCCACTCCTCTCCGTATGTCTCTGCCTCTCCCTCTCCAGGGTGAGCCATGAAAAGATGGGAAGTTTGAGCGGCTGTAGCGGGAAGGATTATGAACATATTCCTGTAGGAAGGTTCGTTTCACGCCAAATGTTGCATTTTTAATACTGACCGAAACTGGGATGCCAGATGACAGTGTAGTCGTTCTACTCGCTCTGCGGAGCTCGTGATTTGCTGAATCCGATTTTATGTTTGTGAACTTCACATGGCAATTAGGATCCATGGACATTAGATAATAATGTGTTTCAGCCTGAGTTTGGTTCAGCTTGCTTTTTTGTTGCTGATAAAAAAAAGGAGTTTAATGCAAATTGGTATTACTTTTCTTACATTTAGTGCTGCTTTATCAGCAAGCAAAGGCTTTTCTTCTTTAAGAGCCATAATATACTGTATAGAAGAGATAGAAGACACCTTTTTTAAAGGGGCAGTTGATAGAAAACAGGTTTTTAACTGTAAATAAATGAAAATAAAAAAAACTTCACATGGCACGGTACCTTCTCGACAGTCTCAGCTCAAGGTCCAACAACCATATCCTGTGGGGGCGACCTCTAGTTTACCTGGAAGAGTGTGCACCCCGTATATGTAGCAACTTGGGCTTTGCTGAGTGTCATCCCCCCTCTCTCTCCCACTGTTCCTGGTCAACTACAGCCGTCCTATCAATTAAAGCTAAAACGCCCAAAAACATATGTGGTCATCAGAAAAGCATTTCCCCAGTTGCCATGGAGCTGTAGTTGCTCAGACCTTACACTATTCTGAGCCCTTTTATGACTTCTTGTCCATGTTTGTCCAGAAGTTAAGTTTGATGGTTTGTTCAGTCATCAATTATATTAATTAACAATATCATATTTATGTTATTACTTGTATTATATAATAGGTGAAAATTGAGGCAAAAATCACAGCTGAAATTTGATGAAAGGAATACTTTACCCACAATATGAACATTTGTAAATCAATTAGTCATGCTGTGTTACCTTGAATTCACGAAGAAGACTTCTTGCATGCCTCCACTCAAAACAGCAAACATATTGATTGTTTGATGACCATGTATAACAACATAAAAAATTATATCAGAACATCGATTTATAAACTCTCACATAACAGCTCAGTACTTCTCAAACATATGCATTTTTGCAAAAAAAAAAAGAATAAAGAACAAAAGAAAGCATAAATACGTTTCACTTTCAGTTCAGTTTGAAATTGTAAGGTTTTAGTGAAAATGCATGTGTTTGGGAAGTATAAATGAGTTATACTGCATGAGGTGTGTGAGAGTTTGTATACTGATGTTTTGATGATGTTTTGTTTTGCTGTTGTTTCACATGGTTCCCAATCAATCGATAGATCAATATGTTTGCCATTTTCTGTAGAGGCATACGAGAAAAACAACGCTGTCTTCACAAATTCAAGCGGCATGACTACTATAGATGGTCATTTTGTTGGTGAAGCATTCCTTTAAGATGCTATTTGGTGCAGAAGCATTGACTTTTTTCTGTGTTTATTTTTCATTATTTCCAAGGACTCTGGGTGATATAAGGGATCAGCAGAAATCTCTTCATGTTTTGTGTGACTTTCTTTATTGGAGGCATGTTTGAAAGCATAAATTGAGCTGCTGCCAACACAAAACCACTTTATTAATTGTAAACTGCAGTGAACAGTGTCCTCTCAAAGTAATAAGCAAATGTTGTAAAAATCAGTTCCTCTCTCCTTTGAAATTACTGTGTATTTTTCTGTGAAAATCAGCAAAGATTGTAGATGTAATTATTATCTCATTGTGTTTTGTTTGTTTGTTTCTTTTGCTCCTTTTAAAGACATTTTATTAGGGTTGCAGCGGTATATTGGTTTCAAGTTAAACCATGATATTAAAATTGACGGTTGTCATACCATGTATAATTGCATTTCTATGATACTGAAAAAAATGCAACTGGACAGAATTATATATACTTCCATTAAAAATGTTTTTAAGTGTTAAATATAGTTGGAGAATGTTTGTTTAGCCAAAAATAACCCTTCAGTTTTAATTTCTTTAAGGTCTTTCTGACTAAAAATGATAATAATTCTGTAATACCATGAAACTGCGATATTAGGTATTGTTAAACTATCATATGGTTGCAGCCCTACATGGACCATGTCTTCTCTTTCAAAGGAACTTAAAAAAAAAAATCCTTTGGCTTGGGTGGCAGATTTGGACTGTGTGAAAATTGGCTTGCATCCTTTGTTGTTTTTCGGTGCTTTCATGACTAAAATAATTAGGTTCATTACACTGTTCGTTTGTTCTGAACTGGTGGCTTTACTTTGGGCTTTACACACTGAAGTGTTTTGAAGTTAAATCAGCTCTTTGAATAATTTAAGACGAGGGTTCCCTTGCAATGGAATTAATATCTGACCAAATTGCCACAGATTGGGTCATGAAAGCAAAGTCACAGAGATTGTATCTGTCTTCAGAAATGTATACCTTTTATATTGGACTGTGTGTGTGTGTGTGTGTGTGTGTGTGTGTGTGTGAGATATTACACTACAGTAGCTACTTCAGCTGGATTGTTCCTTGAAAATGTTGTTGCTCTTAGGTTTTAATCAACACTCTCAGTTGCCCTCTAATGGCTGCTGCAGCGAGTCAGGAGAGGAACTTTAACTCTTTCTAGGTTCCGTCACCTAATTAAAGTCAGATTTAAAGCTGACTGATGTTGGAGTGCAGGCTGATTTGATATAAACGGCTGTATAAATTCATTCTCAGAGACACTGCTGTTTTTGAAGTATTGATTTGAAATCCTGGGAATCTTTCTGAGAAGATTTTCTCGTCTCAGAATCGATGGCAATGTAATTGGATAGAAGCACTCTGGGCTCTAATTATAAACTCAAATAGATGAATGGTGCTCTCAGAGATCCAACATAGACTCAGCACGGAGGAATTAGGCTGTGAGTTATCTTTAAAATTTTATTTTTCAGATATAATAACCTAAAGCAGGGTATTTTGATTGGTTCTGCCTGTATACGCCAGCTTTTGGATAGCCTGCAGAAAAAAAAGGAGATGGTTTATGGTTCATTTCAAAAGGATTCATTGCTGTTTGTGTCATTGTCTAAAAAATATCATTTTTCTCTTTCTATTCTTACAGTTCATATCAACTTTTCTGCTGGCAGCTCAGGAAAAGGCTCACAGGTAAGAAAAACAGTTGATGCATGTGATACTTTATTTCCTGTGTGCAGATGAACTCTTGCGCTTCTGCTAGTTTCTTGATAATTAGTGTTAATCATTCATTTGCCGGTCTCCTCACCTCTATTAAAGCCTTAATTACCTGACCAACTGAAATTAACGACCGTGGTTTTCTTTCGAATGGATTGATTATTGCCCTCAAGATCGGAAGCTTAATTTGCTCCGCAGTGCAAATCCATTCACTCTTTCCTCAAGTGCGAGATGATTTTCTTGCTGTTGCATTTTCTAAGTCTGCAGTTGCTGCTCGATAAATAATTAACATGTTCAGTTGCTCTACTTCTCATTGGTGTGAGAAGATGTTGACAGTAAGTCTCCTGGCAGAGGTGCTTAGCATCACTGAAATAGGAAATTACTGTCTTACTCTCAGCCTCTTCTTTCCCTGCAGAGAGAGTTACACCCTTTTTGCTTTGTCGCTTTTTAATTTTTCTCATGTTGTTGTAAATGATGTTAGGTAGCAATTATCATCAACTGAACCTCCAGTGCATGGATGGATTACTGAACGAGCCAACCGGGCACAGGCCCAGAGTGTCAGCCCCCCTTGGCATTCATCCACAAAATGTTACTCAAATTAACACATACTGACCATCAAATGTTACATTGACTTCAAAAAGACACAAACAGACCACGAAGAGACACAAAATAACTACGAAGAGTGACAAAAAACACACAAAGAGACAAAGGAACTGAAAAGAAAGGGGCAAAACAACTTTACACACAGAACCAAAAAAGACACAAAACTATTTTTAAGAGATACATGACGACTAAAAATGACGCAAATCCACCAAAAAAGACACAAAATTACCACAAAGAAACACAAAATGCTCTCAAAGAGACACAAAATGAATAAAAAGGTTACTATATTACCACAGAGACACAGAACAACCAAGAAAAGCCACAAAACGTTCCTATGTAGGAGAAGTGGTGGGGCCTTCTGCATGTCTGTGCCCAGGGGCCCATTATTTCATGATCCGCCCATGCTCCAGTGTAATCTAAGTACAAAAAACCCATCCTGGAACAACTGATATTCTGTTAGATTGCAAACAGGGATATTGGCCTCTAATTTGAGCAAAAAAGTTTGCCCAAGTCTGTTTTCTACCCGAAAATAATTGTGCCACATTATCAGTGTGCCTTTTAAGAAAGGATAATCAGTCAAAGCACAGTCTCACGCAATCTCTGGGTTTTTTCCCCATAAAAGAATGATTAGGGACAGCTGCCTGTCAGAGTGATAAAGCATTAAGCAAAGAATTAAATGGCATTCATTCAGGAGAAGAAACCCATTAAAGGAATGAAAAGAGCACTGTTTTTTCAACAATGGAAATCAGGAATAAAAGTCATGTCTAATGTGGTGGAAAAAAAAGACATTATAAAAGCTGAGAAACTGTTTTATGGAGTTCATTTTTGTCCAAATTGTTACAATCCATCTATACTTAGCCATAAATGTCTAAGAAAAGCATCAGAAAAATGTGTTTTTCTGTCTTCTCCTCCCTTCTTGACCCTGACAAGTGGCTGCTAGTGTTTTGCAGAGCTCATGGGGGGGTGTTGCCTAGTTACCACGGGACCACAGCAGCAGTTCGTCTCCTTCGCTTTCTAAACATGCCCTGTGTGTCTTAATGCATTTGCAGCGCATTTGAATTTATAAAAAATCACTGTTTTGACAGGTGTTTCCCAGTCAGAGAGCAGGGCCAAAGTGTGTTTTGCACCTTGTATCAGACATTTGTTGTCATCAGTGATATTTGTAGTGTGTTTTTCCTCACCGAGCCCACCTGCAAAGTGGAAACCAGGTTGTTGCCCCCTTTTTAGATCTCCTGAGCCGAAGAACAACATTAACAAATTAGAGAGGAATACAAATTTGTAGGTCAGGGAGGCGCTCCAGTTTAGTTATGGAAAGAAGTGGTGAGAGGCCGGGCAGTCATTTACATACTGTAGACAACATTTTGCAACACGTGCTTATTAATGAGTGGACTCTAAAGTTAACACGCTTGATTTATTATTTCAAAAGAAAACCAGTTGCCTAATAAAGCAATTAGTTATCGCTCTTTCCACATTATTGACTTTCTAACAGAGTGTGCTGTATGTGGGACCTTTTTCTCAATGTAGCTTAAAACAGTTTTGTAGCAACAAATCTAGAATTCTAAGTGCATATACATCTGTAAACTTTCAGATCAAAAAATATATATTTATATTTCTGTGTGTGTGTTTTGGACATATCAAATGCAACAACAATTTTGATTCTTGGCTCACTGATCCATGTTAACAAAGATATTTTCCTTTTAGTTGGTGCTAGATATTTCAGGAACTTGGGTGCACAACAGCGGTAACTCACTTGTTAAACACATCAAACATGATTGATATTTCTTTCAGCAATGCAGAGTTGTTCAGAAACATTTACTCAAATTTGGCACAAACATCCACTTGGACTCGACTGTGTACTAATTAGAGTTTATTGGTCAAGGTTACTGTGCCTTAACAAAACAGGCGAGACATTTGTTCGGATACTGAATTGGTGACCCTCATTATGGTAGTCCATCTTGACACTGTACTAGTTGCACAGATCTTCTGTGCTTCTCAGTTGAAGATGTGTGTGAAGCACTCATGTTCTGAAATATGTAGCTTCTTTGCACCAACATCCATATTTATAATATTGTCAACTTTCATGGCTTCATATATAGTATAGTATGGATAGACACTGATGTAAACTGTAACTGCAATTCGACTGGTTCCCAAGGTATACAACCACGAGGCAGCAATTTTTGTTGACTCTTATTTTGATTAAATGGCAGTCCTGTTTACCAGTTGCATATTTGTGGGAGAAAAGAATCTAATCATTTAAAGAATCAATTAATAGTAATGAATATGTAGTTTATCTATCTGGCTTCTGAGAAGATGAGATTGTAGTATGCTATGGAAAATGGTTGACAGAGATGTAAATTATATTGTATATCTAACCATCAATGTTGGCCTTTAAATTACTGTTTGATCTGAGCCTTTTTTCACATGATCTTTGTGCTAGTGGTCAGCATAGAAGATCTGGCACTGACTAAGAGAGGATTCCCCATCTGACTTCAAACAGCTGGGCTCATCCCATCACGATTAAAATCTGGCTAAATCTGCAGGGGCTCCAGTAGTGTGTGTGTGATACCGGTAATGCTGATCTCAGAATGCAAAGTAGCAACAGCCAAGTAGTATCACACTTCCAACAACATACATTTGCAGTGTGATTCTGCAACTCGTGGCTTATTGTTTGCCCCCTTACGGTGGAGGAACAGATGATCATCTCTTTCAGGATATGAAAAAGTGACATGCTCTGCTTTGATCAATATAGTAGTAATCTAACATTTACAAAAGGCTTATGATATGTAAAGCAGGAAACATGGTTGCAGCAATAAACATTAAAGTGTCATTTTAAGTAGTTGTCTTTGAACACAGTCCACAGCTTGCATACAGAACAAGTTCTAGCATCCTCCTTACTCCTTTGAAGACGGCCTGAAACCTCTGATGACTGGCATTGTTTTGAACTTAGAATGACTTGGAGTAGTTGGCAGAGGCAAGCACAGGTACTGTGATTATCTGCCGCTTCAGGGCTTTATAAACAACCAGTGTACTACAAGTTTGCTAATGTAAGCAGAAGTGCCTTGATCTTGTGCACTCAGAGGACTCAGAGCAGTGTGAGGATGCAGGAGGACGACACCATGTGAGAAATTATTCACCAACTTCCTGCTGAGGGTCCTGCAAAGCCAATGAGTATTTTCAACTTGTTAATGTTCCTGTCACTTTGCCACCATTCGGGTCTTCTCGAGACACGAGGACACAAGAAATTCCAGGGCCCAAGCAGGAAGTGTTATTCTAAAAGGGGCAACTTTGCTTCAGGCGTTGTTCCTAGATGTGGGGAAAAAGCAACAACCAGTCATTCGACATACACAAGAACACAACCAGTACAGCAGAAGTAATTGAAAGTGCTGATCTCTGTGAGTCACTTAGTTATTTCATGTCTTTTCCAGCTTTAAATGTAGCCTAACATAGTTACATAATACAAACATTTTCTCAGGTTCATCTTAAGGCTGTGCAGGAGGTGACAGGAACAGCACATTTACAACCCAGATAGGAGACATAAGCACTTCTTATCTGCCACCCTTTGTTTTTTGAGACTAGATCTTCATGTTGGTGCAGATTGCACTCAGTCCCAAATGCCACTTCATAGCTGACATAATGACCAGCCTTGAAGGAAAAGAGCTGCTGCCTTCCTTAATGACACACTCAATTAAACTCATCATGTCTGATTGGACAATAATGTCTTCTCTGTTGTTTACAGGTTGTCGTGATTTCTGCCAAACATCATTTTGTGAAGATTTGTGTTTAAACTGTCATCCATGCTGCTTAAAAGGCTGTCACTACATGCAAAAGAGCTTTTCTTTATCTGAAGCATCTCTTTATCTTGGGCAGTTGTAAGAAAATCAAACTCAAGAGGAGGTGTGTGAGACTGCTGTCTGAATCATTGCCTCAACTCCTCTGCAGTGACGAGATTCCTTTTTCTGTTATTACAAATCTGCATGAATGCTGCCAGCATGCACCTGGAGGTCCCACTGCAGCTGCACAAAAACTGTGATTATCAACAGTTCGCCAGGTGGCACACACTAACCTGCATCCATTAACATTATCTTTTTCTGGAACCAAATTATTGGGACAAAACCTGTGGTACTTATAAATACCTAGAGGATTATCTGACAGCTTCTCAAAGTACTCTTAGCAGAGTAAAATAATAAACTTTGAATGAAATCACATTTAGTCCCTTTATGTGGTCAGAAAAATGTCAGTGCTTTTTATGCCTCCACGCTGGCGACAGCTTTGGCCGGAGACATAATTTTTTTGGGTTTGTCTGTCTGTCCTGAGCTCAATATCTCAAGAACTTCTCGAAGGAATTTCTTCAAATTTGGCACAAACATCCACTT